GGTGCTCCGAGTGTGTGTGCGTTTTTGCGCAAAAAAAGCTTTTAATGTGAGAAGATTAAAATAAGACCCACTCCTTCTCTTAGCCAGCCGTACCATCAGCGGAAACATCGCGATCTGAAATAAAAGCTTTGAAGAATGCTGAGTGCTATAAAAATGGATTTTAAAGATAGTCAATACTCTGCATACAACAGACACTCAGACACAATCATACAACCAGCCAGTCAGACACAAATATCTGCGATGGGTTGCAGCAAAGAAATCAGCAAAAAACATAAACTCTGAGCTACATTGATGCCACACTCTTGATAATACGGCCACCACATGTGGCGAATATCAGATAAGCTGGTAAAAATACTCGGCCAAGGCTATATATTTGCCATAGCATCGTGATGTCGTGGTGGTTTTGAGTACTGGAGAAATCATTCACATCATTCACAAATGTCCATGAAATCACAAGCATTTGGTTTACCAGAATACCGAGAAACGTGCGCGCGTATGTGTAAAGAGGAGTGTATGAATTTGCACTTCCACACATTCACACACACTCACGATAACTGCGAACTCACTCACATTGGCTAAATATTTAAATACCCATATTCCAAATGATTACGAATGTATAGCGTTTGAAAACTGTGGTCTCGGTGTTCACGTTGGTTGGTTGGTTGGTTGGCATCTTAAACGGTGAACGCTTAACGCAAAAATCGAGCGGGGGATTTCTCTTGTATTTGCTGAAAGATGTGTCAAGTGGGTGTGTATATGTGTCATGCATTTATCGAGAAAGGGGGGTGGTGTGGTTACAAATTATTGAAAGTGTTAAATATGCAAATAAAACTAATATTTTTTGAAGGATGCCAAATGGCTATTATTGAATTTCTTAACTTAACTATAAAAATGGATTTAAAAATATTTTGTTTTAATCTCAATTGCACACATTTCACATAGAGAGGTATTAGATATTCGGTTTTAGAAAATGAAGTCATAGATATGCGGTAAACAACACTTTCAAGCATACATAAAGAACTAATGCATTAGAAATACCATAGCGCAGATGTTTGTACTCTCATTTCAAAATTGTCTCTTTAATGAAAAGATAGTTAAAATTTAGCTGGAAATAAATAAAAACGTGAGAAGCGTTAGAAACTCGTTTTTTTTGCCATTTTAGTTTAAAGCATTTTTTTTTGAAGGTATGTGAATAGTATCAAGTTAATTTTTTATTTTCTACGTATGATATTCAACATAAATAAATCATTGTACCGTTCAGGGCTACAGAAACGAGCCATTTTTTATCGGACTCCCACTCCGGAATCATCTTTTAAAATTACATATTCACCCAGCAAGCATTTAAGGCACCATTACACCAGCCTGTAACCGATGTAGTCCTCAATGTAGTCAATTATGATAGGGAATACAAATGGTTGGGCCACACAAAGCAGGTTCATACTATTTTCTAAGAGTCAGACTACAGTTTAGGTCTATCATTTTTAAAAGTTCCGTTATATAAGGTTTCAAATGCGTTTAACAATCAATCTGGCTGTAGAGGTGACGTATATTTTCTGAATCTTTCAGAAACCGAATACTATGTAATCCACTTGGAATTTTCACAAACCAGCTGGCGGTTGAACAATAAAATTAATTGTAGCGAATTCGTAAATATTATAAATATGTCAAAAAAAAAATATTACAAAACAATATTTATTATATTTGATATAATAAAAATTAAGAGTAATATGTATTTTGTTCAGACACTCACAATGAAATTTGATATCATCGCTTGATTCTTTCCCCAAAAACTACGAGAGGATTTTCATTTATTGTATAAAGAATTTTTATGCTACAAACTGGAAGCAGTTATTTATACTCTACACCACACAGTGGTAAGGGTATTATGTCTTTGTGCATTTGTTTGTAACATGGAGAAGGAAGCGAGATCGACCCATAGTTACTTTTGAGGTTTATCATTGAATTAGTTTCTGAGTCGATTTATGCATGTCAGTCCGTCTGTCCATGTATTTTTGTGAACAAAATGTAGGTCGCATTTATTATTCGATGGAGATGAAATATTCCAAAAAAATATATGTTTGGCCCAAGGACAAACCTTATTAAAATTGGTGAGAATCGGTAAAAAATCATACATGGTTTCCATATATATCTTCAACCGATTTCGGGTTAATTGTGTTCATCCGATTTGGGGTTTTAAGTCTCTCAGATGGGTGGGACTCTACAGGAATGATATTTGGTACCAGATATCTGATACTGACCAGAAATGTCAAATTTTGTCAAGATCGTGTCAGATTTGGATATAGCTGCCTTATATACCCTTAATCCGATTTCAGGTTTATTGTGCAAATAATGGCTAATATCAGCCCAAATGGAGAGATGTACCTTTCCATTTGGTGGAACGCGGCTTCGATACATTTTTTTAATATAATCCTTCTCGAAGTGATATCATGCACTCTATAGCAATGTTATTTGGTATAGAAAGCTAAAATGTCTCCGTCAAATTAAGTGAAAATCGTTTCAGATTTGGATAAGCCTTTCATATAAAGAGTTAGATAAAAAAACTGCAACTAACTTCAGACTGCTGTCATTTCTAAGCCACTCGTCCGACAGCTTTTAAAATTATTATTTACAAGCGTACAAAAGCATATGCATTTTGCTGAGAACTTTCCAGAAAAAAAGTTATTCGTGATGGATAGTGTGATTTCTCTATATTTGGCTGGAAAACCACAATTGGCTATCGTTAGAGCATGCCAGCATTCAAATGTGAATAGATCTTTTGTGTCTCGTATCATCGCTCGTTATATTGATACTGGAAGCGCAGCCCGACGGCAAGGAAGTGGACGGAAGAAAACAGCAACATCAGCAGAAATTGTTCGAAAAGTAAAGAAGCAACTTGATCGAAACCCGCGTCTCAGTGGCCGAAAAATGGCTCGTGGGCTGAACATATCGCAATATTCCATTCGGCAAATATTGAAAAATGAGCTCGGGGTAAAGCCATTGAAATTCCAAAAAGTGCAAGAACTTACACCACAACAGGAAGACAATAGACTCAAAAGAGCTAAAAAATTGCTTCGCTTGTCCGAAAGTGGTGAACTGCCGAATTTGTTTTTCTCCGATGAGAAAGCATTCGTTGTTCAGCAGTTTGTAAACAAACAAAATGATCTTGTTTACTTGCCAAAGAGGCCAGCTGAAAATGTGCACCTTCGGTTGGCCACCAGAACTTAAGCGCCGGCCATGGTGATGGTGTGGGCCGCCATAACAGCCGATGGTCGCTCTCAGCGTTCGAAAATAAACAGTATGGTACTGTACCGTAGTGTTCTGTACCGTTCCGAGGTGGAGTGGCGCACTAAGATAATGTACCGTACCGGAGCACAACCATTAAAAAATATTTTAGTGATACTGTACCGGAGCACAACAAGAATCGTACTGTACCGCAGTCGGAGCACTAAAAAACGTAGTGTTCCGCAGTCGGAGCACTACGAAATCGTAGTGTTCCGCAGTCGGAGCACAACAAAATCGTAGTGTACCGCATGGCGGAACATTAAAAAAAAATAATGTATCGGTAGTGTACCACATATGTGTTGTTTACGATTTGTGAGAAAAATTATTACTAGCATAATTCAATATTATGAAAATAAAAGCTGGATTTATTTTATTTGTCATGTATGTTTAGATTGGTTGCAAGATTGAAGAAAGTAGAAAAATATGGGAATAGGTAGAAAGAATAAAAAAGGACCAAATCTGAAGTCATAATAATTTGTATTTAACCATTCAAAATTGAAATTTTCCACGAAAAAGGGAATTTTAGTGGTTGCATTGCAATGGGTTATTATGCAAATAATTTACCTGCTATTTTGTGGTACCGAAAAATGAATGAGTGTTGGTGTAAAAAACTAAATATTTTACAGTGTATGGCTGAGTGTTTAAAATCAGTTCGATTTTCTAATGTGGTCATGTGCTACACTACGATTTTTTAATGCACCGATTGCGGAACACTACGTTTTTTTAGTGCTCCGACTCCGGTACACTACGATTTTTTAATGCACCGATTGCGGAACACTACGTTTTTTTAGTGCTCCGACTCCAGTACACTACGATTTTTTAGTGTTCCGACTGCGGTACACTACGATTTTTTAGCGCTCCGACTGCGGTACACTACGATCATCGTTGTGTTCCGGTACAGTATCACTAAAATATTTTTTAGTGGTAGTGTACCGGAACACTCAAAGGTTGATAGGTGGTATGATCTACTTCAAATAAATTCTTTTGTTATGGGAGCTCTACTAAATATGCATGGTGTAGGGTGTCATATAGTCGGTCCCGACCGACTTTTGAGAATTTCTTACTGGTTTTCAATTGAAATTTTTTACCATTGACAACCAAACCAATCCTTCGTCATAGTTTTTTTCACAATATTCTTCGTTCTATAATTTTTTTGTATATGTTTTGTTTTCCTAAAATAAGTGTTTAATTTTAATTACCTTACAAATATTAGAGATGTAATTGGATTCATTGATTTTTTGTTGTTGTTTTATTCGGTTCGCTAGCTCTATGCTTTGTCATGACATTAATGGGAATGTTTGTTTAACACTCTCGAAAAAATTTCAAGTTATTAGAAGTGAATGGCAAGTCTACAAGAGAAACATGATATTCTAATGTGTCAAAGACACGCACATTGATGTTAAAGCGGTGGGTATATAAAGAGTTTCTTAACGAAATGTTAGCATTGCAACCCCACAAATAATTTAATATTGAAAATAAAGGGGGGAAAATCTACAGCGTTTTCTGAATAAAATTTGAATAAAAAATAGGCAAAATAGGACGAACAATGACTTTGGCACGCACAACTAACATTTAACAATGAAATCATGTCAATTAGTTAAACGAAATTGGTGTTGGCTCTTTTCTATATCGAAATGTTATTTTTGCCAGCTACTTGTGCATGGTTGATTAAGCTAATGTTTGTTTCGCTTTTGTGTTTTTTTCTCAATATTTTCTAGTGCCACCGGAGAAGCCAGCCATTTACAAACCCATACGCCATGAAAAGGTCAGCAATGTGGAATCGTTTAATGAAGGCAATGATATTGTGCTGATATGTGAAGTGTCTGGTGGTAAGTTGAAAATTAATTTTAACACCAACATTTAAATTGTTAAATTTAGAATTGAAGTAATGATTGCAAAGCTATTTAAATATATTTCTTTATTGTTTTTTATTTTTGTTCCACAAACGATAACAAATTAATTTCTGGTTTCCATTGTAATGCAGCACCACGTGTGCATGAAAATTGATTAGAAATGTAAATGTTATTTTGCGGTATATAAAATGAATTGTTTTGTTGTGTTTTACTCCTTTTTTGCAATACAACACAACACAATTTTGAAAAATTTAATTTACCAGAAATATGACCGCATAATAACCAGCTATTTTGGTCAGAACTAGCATGGTGTTAGTAGTTCTGCATGCGCTATGCCGGCAAATAGCGTATACGCTTGGAATCGGAATTAATTAAAAATACAACCCGAAAAAAACGCAGAACACGTAAAACATGAATTAAATATTTTACATATGTATGTGTGCTCTTATACATAAAATAACAACTGCATTAAATTATTTATAGTTGTTTCTAATTGAAGCATAAAAAAGCCAAAAACACAAATTATATTTGGTCTACTTGACTTCTGAACAAAACGGAATTTTATTTATTATCGTTTTTTTACACCAAAAAATTGTGTTGTCAAAAATTTATCGTTTTCATGCAATTCTGAATTTTTGAAATTATTTTTGTAAAAATAAACAATTGAAACCTACTACGTGTGTTTAATTAAATTTAATTGCCTTGTTTTTTATCTCATGTTTAGTGATGGTAATTTGTAAACAATAATAGGTAAAATTGTCATTGCTAATTACAATAGATTAGTTGTTAATCAAAGGCAAATTTGAATTCGTATTTTGTACAATTAATTCCATGAAACCTAAACGGACTAAAGTGAATACAAATTAGAAATCATTTGATTTAGTTTTCGTAAATAATGCAATTGAGAATCAATTCATAAGTGTTAATGAAATGGGTTTGAATCATGACATTAAAAAGACTTTTATACCTAGATTGAAATTTTTGCTTTCGAAAAGTTAGTCTAATACTGATAAAAACATTGTGTACATGGGGTATATGACAATCTGCCACTATCGTAAAGACGATGGACCGAATTTTTCCCTGAGAAAAAGTAATTTTAGATTTACTCTAATTCAGTTCAGAGATATCGCATTCCAAAAGGTCGTGGTTAAATATTCAAAATATTGAAAATATGGAAGAATTAGATAATGTCTATCCATAAACTTTGAACTTGACCTTCGTAGACCAGTCTTTTTTTTTTTGTTTTTCTTAAAAAAATGCGAATCAATTCTTAACATTTTTTGTAATTCTAAGGATATTAGCAATGATTTGAGTTGGCCAAAACAATGATGAAATGAAAGAAAATGATATAGCCAATTTCATGCCTTTCAAGATCTAAGAAATATAATAACTACCGCTTACTATTTTTCAAAAGAAGCAGATCTGAAGATTGGATTTTCACTGGTCAATCAATATCGAGTTGGAACTTCCAAAGACATAAACACGAAATTTTAAGATATTTTGAAGGAACTTTCAGACTGGTCCACTTGGAATATTTGGTCTTTTAGTCCTATATAATATGCCAAATTTTCAACGGTAAATAAAAGTTCCTAACATGTAATTTCAAGTTATATTTTTTTTGTAACAATTTGGGTTGTAAGAATTAACTTTTTAATAGATTTTTTAAAGAACTATAGTTCCATTTCCAGTCCTTAAGTGAAATTTCTGTAAAGAAGTCTCAAGTATTATTAAAGTTATAAATGAACACTAGCAAAGGAGGTTAAAGAATTACATGGAGGTATATTCTAAGTGATCACTTTGATTTAAAAGCTGACTTGACTGAGAGTCGTTAGAGTTAAACGAGTGCTTAAAATATTTTCAGAGTCATAAACTCCAATAAAGGACATTGTTTCTTGAAAATAAAAGTTGATATTTTGGAATAGAATATGTTCACTAACAGCAAGCGTCATTAACGTGGTCTTCGAAAATAGAAAATAGCCTACCAGGACAATAAACACGATATTTTTAGATTTTTTTTTCAATAACTATTACTTGCAACAAAATAACTAACAGCAAGCGTCATTAACGTGGTCTTCGAAAATAGAAAATAGCCTACCAGGACAATAAACACGATATTTTTAGGTTTTTTTTTTTTCAATAACTATTACCTGCAACAAAATAACTTTTTAAAAGATTTTTAAGGACTTGTTATATTATACATTTTTTTTAATTTATTTTCGATTTTATTGTTTCCGCACTAGAAACACTTTTACTACAAATTCAATATAAAAAACCAGATATTTTTAGAAGTTTATATGTATATGTATGTCTGCCTTATTTTGATTCTGCACTATAAATACTTCTTATAAAAAGGTGTCGTATAATCGGCACTGTGTCAGTTTTTCACTTTTCTTGTCTCCTACGGAAAAACTATTGACACCAAAACTCTTTAATGTTTACATTACTAAAACTAGTTCGTAGAATTATCAAAATATCATAAGCCTAAGAAAAGTCATTGAATATATATCAAGCGTTTTTGTAGTAATCTTCCTTCTGCGTGCTCCAAATTTCCCACACAAAATCTTTTCTATTTGTTTCCACACTTCTTCATCTTTATCGATTTTCTTTAATAAACAACATATCTTTATTTAACATTTGTACTCGTGTTGTTGTGATATTTTGATAATCCAATGAACTAGTTTCATTCATTGTTACGGCTACAATACATGGGCAATTAGTTAGTACATCAGAGCAGAGTGTTGAACGACATCAATTTTGTAGTAACATCATTTGGCAAATAACTAACAATAACCACGAATTCTATGCAGACAAGACAAGATGGGGAGGCTGACACTGACTAGTGGGCAGCCAGGCAGGTTGGCTAGCTAGAGCAGCAGGCAATGTGCTGCTGTTATATTGGATAAAAACGAAAACAAATGAACTGTTTGAACTTAACTAACCTAGATGAACTGGAAACAAACAGTTGTCAGTCTTGTCGTATGACCGACCGGCAGAGCAGAGTTCACTTGAATCGAATAACAAACTGAACGGCAACAGCAACAACAAGAAAAAAAGAAACAAAAAATAAAGAATAACAATTCTGGCAAATGATGTTAGTTGGTTCAATGCGAAATGAACAAACTATCTTACGTCCCATACCGCCCCCCCATTGCCCACCGTGCTTGTATTCATTGATCCAAACAGCTGGCACAGTATAAAAGGATATCTTTTGTTTATTGCAATTTTATTTGCTTTTTGTAGATGTTGTTGTTGTAGTTATTTGTTCATCTCTTCTATATCTGCTGTTATCTTAATTTAGTGAATGTCTACAATCGAAGTAGACAGGCAAAGGACAACGAATTGTATACAATTTACTTATGCATTTATGTTCTGGTGTGTATGTGTATCTAGTATGTGTATTTATTGTTATGTTTTTTTTTTCTTGGCCAATTTCACAGTTGTTGTCTTTTTATTCTTGTTTCCTTCTCTCTTTTTTGATCTATTTCCTAATGTTTACTTACACTCATTCGATTTTTTTGCTCTTGTCATTTATTTTTCCACAGGACGTCCACTGCCCAATGTTACATGGTATTTGGATAATACGGTGATTGATGAATCGTTTGAACATCGTCCGGACGGTAAGACTGTTAACCACTTGTCATATCCAAATGTTGGACGACAACATCTGAATGCGAGATTAGTTTGTGTGGCCAGCAATACGAATTTAACTCCACCGAACAACAAAGTGGTCATACTGGATGTCAACTGTAAGTATCGATTTTGTGGTATTTATGCTTTATGGGTGGGTGTATGCCTCAATGTTGTGAATCTGATGTAAGGGCGACAGCGACAGATATTTAAGTATTCGTTTTGTTCGTTAGCCAGAACTGCAGGCCATGTATGAATGTACGATATGTAGTTCATATATTGTTGTTGTGATGTAACAAAGCTATGCTTGTTTTGCCCTCGTTTAATCCTCTACTTTTTTATCTGATCAGACTTTGTGTAGTTGTAGGTAGGGTATTCACATAATATGTTGATTTTTAGTCAATTCATACGAACATACATATTTGTATATGTGTGGTTACAAGTGATAGGACTTTAGTTTTGATTTGTGGTGAACGTTTGTTTTTATGTTGTAGGTTAAAAGGTCATTATTAAAGAGAATTTGTGAGAAAATTCAATGGGCATAGATAATTTTATTTGAAGTCAAAAATTTGTGGTAAAATATGTTATCTATTTGGATACTTTTAGGGTTTCTTGAAATCAAAATACAGGAGTCATATATGCTATGGATTTATGAAATCAATAAATAAATAACGTGACACTTATTACAAGCACATTTGAGAATATTTTTCATGGATTATCAATTACCTGAACGCTGACCAGTTAGAAGTATTTGTGAGCGTAAAATCATCGTTGTGTTTTTTAGGGAACTTCTTGAAAAAAATTAGTTTCAAGGAACATTTAGAATCCTAAACTTTAATTTTAAAAAGAATAGTAATATGATTCAAAGGTAAGACGCCAAAGAAAATTATTAAAAGAAAATTGGAGTCGTAAAGATTAATTGAAGAATCATTTGTTTGGCCCTAGGACGAACCCTATTGAAATTGGAGAAAATCGGTAAAAATTTAGATATAGCTCCCATATATATCATCGTCCGATTTGCCTTTTATTGTGCACCAAACGTGTAATATCAGCCCGAATTGTATGGAATTTTGCACATACACCCAAATTAGGCCTGAAATATGTATACAAAATTTGATCGAAATCGGTTCAGATATAGCTATAGCTCCCATATATATTGTTCATCCGATTTGTTATTTTTGTCCACCGCCACCGCAATATGCACTATGCAACAACAATATTTGGGGGAATATATCAAATACAGCTCAGAAATACATTTGCTAAATTTTATCGAGACCGGTTCAGATTTGGATATAGCTCCCATATATACCTTCGTCCGATTTACTTTTTTTTGTGCACCAAACGTCTAATATTTGTCCAAATGGGATGGAATTTGGCACTTACGACCGAATTGAGTCTAGAAGCTAGTATGTCAAATTTGGTGAAGATCGGTTCAGATATAGCTATAGCTCCCATATATAGTGTTCACCCGATTTGTTATATTTGATACCCACAGCCGTAATATACACTCCGTAACAATGATATTCAGGGAAATATATCAAATACAGCTAAGAAATATCTTTGCCAAATTTTATCGAGTTCGGTTCCGATTTGGATATAGCTCCCATATATATTTTTATCCGATTTCAAATTAATTGTGCACCAAATGGGCAATAAAAGTCCGAGTTTAAAAGATGCAAATGCTTCGGCATATTTAGTCCTATAAACTTTAAATTATAATTGTAATCATAGCGTGTATGATTTAATTCTCTCATAAAAACTTTTAATTGTTATGCGCAGCTCTACTAAATTAGCAAAGTGGTGTAGGGTATCAAAAAGTCGGCCCGCCCGACTTTAAGACTTTCTTTACTGGTTTTTCATTCTTACTGAGGGAATATCGATGTTCTCCTACTGAACTACTCGTAGTTCACATATAATTTAACGCAATCACAATTTCAAGTTGACCCTAGCTTTCCAAGTAGTCACATAATTGTAAAACTAAGATTTGGTTAACGTGAATATTTGGTAAAATCGCCATCTCATGTGTATTTCAAAATAGAGTATTAAAATCTTTCGAAATTCCAAATTGGAAATTTCCATTTGGAGCTTTATAGACTCTTTCCCACAAAATGAAAATTAAAATTTAAGCCCAAAATATAAGACCTTAAAGTATTTAGATAGGGGTTTAAAATTAAACAGAGAAACTTATATTATTACTTTGATCTTTGGAAATAAAATGGGTTACATCTCGTCGTGTGTTGGTATCGTCTACATATAACAAGGCATCTAGTTGCAAGCCGAAAATACATCTTATGTATATGGTTCAGGAAAATTCCACAAATTCCACATCTAAACTGCAAATCGCTAATTTTTATATCTGTTTACATATTTACCTACTTTTATTTAGTGTCTGTCTATTGACCGTTCAGAGGTTCAGAGGTTTAAATAATGCAATTGTTGTTGTGGTTCGCCATTATTTTGCAGATAAATAAAAATTCTCTTGAAATCGCGTGACATTTAAACTTATTTTGCAATTTTGTTGTATTTGTATTTCCCGCCACCGTACACCAAAATGAAATGACGAAAAACTCAAACCATCAATGTAAAAAAAATCTTACTGGCTGAATATCTCACAGATATTCTGTCGTTGTGCGTGTTGATGTTAAAGTTTAAGTGTCAACATTCAGACATTTCGTGTTCACATAAAATTTATTATTTCATCTGCACAAAAGTAAGACAGACCACTACAATGATCAGGCTGCACATATATACACACCGACCGTCATGTCATGACATGGCGTGACGAGTTCTTTTGCCTTTACAATTACCCAGTGAATTTAGTTTAGCTTTCAATTTAAAAAATAAAAAAACACACTGATAACTTTTTTTCAAAGAAGGTTAATCGTTTTGTATTTAATTTTTGTTTGACATCGAATTTTCAAATGTAAAATGAGGAGTTTAATTGTTGGCATGATCATTTTCCAAATCAAAATTTAAGTTTTTGTTGTGAATAACTATTTATAGAACTGAATGACTAAATTTTGGATGTTAATTATCTGAAAAAAAAATCTAGAAAATCAAAGCATTATTACATCGACTACAAAAAGCTAATTCTCAATCAGCTGATGATACTGATACACATTCTTAATACCTCAACTATCAATATTGCTTCCTTACTGGAGTTTTGGGTGTGCTCCGGCCTAAACGAAAATATGTTTCCAGTTTACTATATGCTAGGGCTTAACATCTTCGATATAGTTTTTTTGCCTATTTTCCTCCTACAATTCCGAGTAACTATTTTCCCACAACAAATTATGAAATATAAACATCATAGAAACGTTAAAAAAATCTGTCTATTTAATCGCTTTAAAACCAAGTTCAACAACTTAGATAAATAAAATTAATACCATTCTATTCTCTATTTCTATTCTCTTTTTCTAGTGAAACCAATTGCCGTTCACATAATGACAAAAGACCGATTTGTTTCGGCCGATCGCACATATGACATCGAATGCAAGTCATCCGGTTCAAAACCACAAGCCGTCATTACATGGTGGAAGGGTAATAAACAATTAAAAAAGCTAACAAAAAACGTAAGTGAAAATAAAACACACACACCGATGAGCCAAATAGAAGTGATAAGTAATGTTTTTCGCACCAGCGGCAACAACAATAACAACACTAATAATATTTTATAAACAATGTCACCAATTAACACATACATTCAATGGCAATTACATGAGTACATTTTACAACATACTTTAGCTATTTTATAGACAAAAAAATTAAATATAAATCAAAAACAAAGAAAAAAGAAAATACAAGAAAATTAATGTAAATTTAATGAAAACATAATAATTAGTTTAATATGGAATTGAATTAATTATATAATTTTTTAGTTACAAGTTTTTAGCCTATTTTTTCTGAATGGTAGCCCACTCACATATATGCCATTCAACAACTGATGCTATTTAAAGGGTCAATCATACTATCCAACCATAATGATGTATATGTGAGAGCATACGAGCAAAGTAAGAGAGAGAAAACTGTTATTAAATGAATACTCATAAAATCAAAGTGACGACCTACATTAAGGACAACCCACTAACACAGATATACATCAAAAACGTATTATGCCATATGTTGATGGTGCTGAGACTAATAATAGTCACACACAAGCCCTCATACAGCCACACTCACTCAAACACTTTAACACTCCAACACTTGTGTATATAATTTGCACACCCTTGTCTCTCATAGACCTTAATTGATAAAATGTCACTTTTATGTGAATGTCTGCACTTTCGTTTTAATCGTAGTGGTCGAATGACCGACCGTCCGGCACTACTACTATAGTTTACTGTGTCAATAGCTAGTGCTGCCAGTAAACGTTAATATTCGTGGAAAATATTTTGTTAATTTGCCATTGTTTCTGTTCTTAATTTCTTTTCATATCGCCACGGTCATAAATGCCAATACCGCCGACGCCACCACCACCGGCATCATCGTCATCATCCCACCAATGGTTTCGTTAACAAAACCACACACATGTTTCCAGTTTAATGAACCCGACAATCAATCCTTAAGTATATTAACATTCACGCCTACCCGAGAAGACGATGGCAAATATTTAACATGTCGAGCGGAAAATCAATTTATTGAGGGCAGTGCCATTGAGGATAAATGGCGTCTGGTTGTACACTGTAAGTATGAATGAAAAAAATATAAATAGTATTTTAAGTCAATATAGAAAATAATTAAAAAATAATATAAGGATGACTGACCTTCATTCTGGTGTCTATGCAAATGTGGGGCAAGGAGTCAAATTAGCTTATTTGTTTTCACTCATCAATAATACACTGATTTTGGGTAATATCAGTTCCCCAGTACTAAGGGTCAACAGCTGTAATATTAAATGCCGAATGATGAGAAAGAATCTGAAAAATCTATAATATAAATTGGTGTTAAAGAAGAAAGTTTCAGTCGGTGTTCCGACAGCCATATACCCTCAGAAGAAAAATTAAGAATAATCCTGGATTTTTTTGAGAAGAGACGCCGGACATATTGAAGAAATTTATTTTCATACGAAAATTTTTGTTTCGAGATATATTATTGTTATTAGAATTATACTTTATTCAAAACATTTACACTTTTTATGGATGGTACCAGAAGGATATTTCGATTGCCTGACCTAATCTGACTCAATTTTTCTATAAGTAAAAGATACTCCAACTGATTATGTGTCCTTTTTTCACAAAAAAGTTCGGCCGGGCCGAACTTTTAATACCCTCCTCCACTTTAAAGGAACTTGAGAAATTTCAAAAAAAAAAAAAAAAAAATCCATGATAAATACAGCTCACAGAAAACCCTTATATACAATATATACTATTACTAGCTGGCCAGGTCCGCGTTGCCGGCCCGTACTTTTAGTCTTTAAAGCATAATAAATCACAGATCTGACTTATGTATGCGGCACAATTTTGATTATAAGTAATGACGCCATTATAATTACTCCAATTTTGATTATAAGTAATGACTTGATCATGAGTAATGACTCCATGACTAAATAAAAATTAATATTCATGGCAAAAATTATAATTACCGTCGGTTTTAAATATTTTGAATAGCCTGATCTTATTTTATTTGAGTGTTAAATACCTATATGATAAAGAACATCTATAATAGCCCCATGTGAAAATTCAGCTCAATTTTTGATATTGTAAAAAGCATTCAAATGGGCTATAATTTGAAATTTGTATTTCCAACATTTAAAATCCCGTACTGCGTGGTATTCAGTTTTGTTCACCTCATACTTGAAGACAGAATGTTGTCAGAATAGCCAAAAAATTACTCTTTTGCTCCTATTACCGTAAGATGGGCATTAATTGTTTGTCATTTAAATTGTGCGGCGGAGATCCAATAAAGTTACTTTATAATTTCGTATTTTTTTCATGTTTCTGCCACAATTTCCGACTGAATGAGTCCCAGATTGACATTTCGGAGTTTATTTCATATAGACGTACATCCCTAATCTACGTTCCCAACCAATATTCTCTCTTTTCCGAAAAATAAAAATTTATAAGAAGAGGTTTTCTTCCCTCTTAGAAACAAAGATGTCAAATAAGGGCCAAAAAATGAAAAAAGTGGCAAGACCCCGAAAATACCTTAAATCATATGATGGTGATACCAAAACGTGATAATTTTTTGCAAAGATGGTTTCTTCTTAAATTATGAACATAAGCTAAAATTAGTACAAAAAATATGGTTAAAATGTAGAATATACTTGAAATCGGGTTGTTCCGTTATCAGGGGTTATGATCGATATCATGCCAAAGCGATTAAAGGTATATTGAATGTTTAGGTAGAATTTCTATTTTGCGATCTTTATAGTCGGTATTTGACTGATTGCAGTCCCAATGTATTTTGCATTTTGTGTTCTCATTTGACAATTTATTGTCATATGAAAGAAGCAGGTCCACTTTTTGAAATTAATCCCATAACGCTTCTTCGGTCATTTTTGTTTGTTTAAATGTGTTCGCATCTTCCAGCTGAAGCACGATGTAGGTCCTGGAGTATAATAACAGTTTTATCCGTTGTGGTTTTATATTGCCCAAAAAAAACCTACACATGATATTAGAATTCAAAAAAAAAAAAAAACACTACAAATGTACATTCGAAAATAGTAACTCAAAATGGAAAAAAATATGCAATATAAAACATTACTATTGTACATTTCAAAAGTCAAAATGAAAACGTTTAAATTTCACATTTTTACGCGATTTTTTTGGATTTTATTCTTTTCTGCCAAGAGGCAATTCCGAATTTGTCTAAATCGTTAAAATCAGACCAGCGGTGTTTATGTTATAAGAATAGTAACTAACACAACTTTCTTTTACATATAGAGAGATAGATTTAAAAGTAGGCGCGTTCCTCAGCCCCTAAATAAGTATTTAGGGTTGGATGGAAAGCCAACAGCATCTCGTGTAATAATTCTCAAACCGATATCTTCACTATTTTGGCAAATATAAAGATTTTAGATAAATCGTAATAGTGGGCGTAAAAGGAGGCGCGGCCAATATTTTTTTCTTTAAAAACCTAACTCGGGGTATGACGAACGTTTGTACAAAAAATAATGCAAATCGGTCCAGGCGTTTTCAACTGATTCCGTTACCAACAAACAACAATTGATTTTTATATATATAGATTATACAATTTTTTGTCGTAGGCTGCAGAACCCAAACTTTAAATGCAAAATTCGAAATGATTGTGGTAAAAATGTCTAATATCATCAAACTGGAAACAATTCCGGTGAATAATGCCAGTAATATTATATAAAATACGAAATAAAGGGAGGTGCCGTTATATTTGGGCTATATGAAGACGCGGTATATGGATAATTTTCCGTTATAGGTTGTAGTACCCATTAGGAGCTTCAAACACGAAATTTGAAAAAATTTCGTGAATAATATTCTTAAAATCATCAAGATACCGAATATCAGGAGCAATCGTCATTTGGGGGCTATACGAACATGTGGACCTGCATAGGCAATTTATTTGTCAAAGGCTGTAGTACCCATTACGAACTTTAAATACGAAATTTAGAGGGTACAGTTGTATGGGGGATATAAAGTGCTTGGAAGGAACTACATGATAATTAAATTGAAAGTGAATAAAATTATCAAAATACCGAATAACGGGAGGTAACATTATAGATTTTACGTGTGATGCCTTTTTATGTGGTTTATAGAAAATTTTCTATCATAAGTTGTAGCATCCATTAAGACTAGCAAATACGAAATTAAAAAAGAAAGAATTAATATATTTTTCAGAAATCATCAAACAAATTCATCAGAATACCGAATATTGGGAGGTATCGTTATATGCGGTCTATACGAAGACGTGAACCTGCATATGCAATTTTTGTATGAGAGGTGGCGTTATATGGGGGATATACGATATCGTAGACCCTTGTAGATAATTCTCTTTGAGGTGCTCTAAAGTACTCACAAAAAACTCCTTGTGTGAAAATTTCAGACAATTTCATTGACAATTCCTTCGTATGGTGGAATGTAAAAACACATTTTAGGGTTGAAGTCGCACTTTGCTTTTAAGTTCATGCAAAGTTTTTTAACCTAACCTAACTTCAGCCGGATGACATCGGAGACGAAAATACTCTCTTCATATTTAACTATAAGCCACCAAAGAATGGAAAGCTCTATTTTCTTTATATATCATAAAAAATTTGTTTCAATTTTGTCAAAAAATCACGAAAATTTCAAGATTTGATAGAATTCGGATTGTAGATAAAATCCCAATAAGAGTTTCGGGTTATCAGGTTTAACTTCGTTTAGGGAGCTTTATCAAGTCTTCGTTAGAATGTTCCTTCATAAAATATAAGGCTTGCCATTATAATTCCATTTAGCCTCATTAAAAACCACACAACTTCTTATTAATTAAAATCCTTAATATTCCATTCTTCGATCCACTGTACCATTCCTAAAAGAAATGCTTTGTCTTGCTTAACTGCTGAACATTTACATATATAGAAAAGACATTTTACTTAATTTATTTAGCGGATAGACACAAAGGCATAGCGAATGAATACGGGGTGCAAATTGCAACAAACGACATAGTCGGCTCTTTGGCAAGAAGAAAAATGGCAAGGAAAAGCATGAAGGGGAATATAAATTAACATAAATAAATTTACACTTTGAAAGAGGCTTTTGCCTTCACACATACAGCCATAGAGAAAATGAGCCTCTTGGAAAACACTCATCACAAAATATACACAGGGACGAAAACAAAAAACAAAAATTGTTCTCTCTCTCTCCACTTTTTTCTCATATGACCCCAGAGACAACAAATTACCGGGCAATGGGAAATCTGGGACAAAGGCAAAAGGCAAGGCAGCAAGAAAGCTTTCTCCTCTAGCGAAAATGAAAACAAAACAAAAGGCAGTCCAGCCAGTCACGCTATTTGAGGTTAAATACTTGTTGTTGTTGCTGTTTTGTTTTCCTCCTCCTGACCAGAATCAGACCACCCATTCAGATTCTTTGGGTAGGTCCACAACATGGCCACAACAGACTGGCCCCATTTGACCGTCTGTATTTACTTGACAATGGACTCAACGCTTCCGAATGGTATAGATCCGCCTGTCCCTCTGTGTGTGTGGTGGCGTTGATAGTGGTCCCATATTCAATTTAATTCAATTGCAAAGCTTTGTAAATGCCCCTTAATGATATTATTTTTTCATACATTGTGTTGTCGTTGTGCCGTTGTCCTGGCTGTCCTGCAAAGTCCATCCATAGAAATACCAAAACATGAAAACGACACACGACGGACAACAACGAACAGAACAATCGAGGGACAAACATGGAGTGCTGTGATTAGAATTGAAATTGGCCAAGTTTGTAATAAAAATAAATTACAACGTTTTTGCATTTATAGACAATAACAACAACAGCAGCAACCATAATGACGCCCAACAAAAACAATAAGAACAGTAATAACAGCCAACAGCAGCAGCAGCAAAAGTTTGGTATGGCAAATTTCTATTGTTTCTGTTATTGTCATATCGACGAGCATTTAAAACAAAAAGGCAACTAAAAACAGAAAAAAGAAATGTTAATAATGGGGACACACACAAAGTACTCTGAGTGGACCAACCATTAAGCAAACCATGCTTCATTTTTTCTCTCAATGT